AAGAGATCTTGCTCAGCAGCAGCCATTGCCCTATGACACTATTGTTGTTTCTATCCCTGTAGTTCCACTATGTGAAAAAACGGGCCCTGTTCTTTGTCCAAGATATTAGCACCGCCTCTGCATTGATGGATGTCAGCTACAAGATTTATGACCAGGAGAACCAAAAGGTGCGTGTCAAGGGCATTACATGTACCTAGTCCCGGGGCAGGAGGACAGCCCAGGGGCTGGTTGTCTTGTTTGGAACTATAGTTCCTGTCGCTCACCCCACCTTTTCTTCCTGAAGATACCTATCTTTGTCAATACTTCTGCTGTACCCTATTCTGTGCGGGATAAGTTGGAGCCAGAAGAAATGGAGCAGTTAAAGGTAATGCACAGTGAAGGCACATGTGTGCCCCTCGACCCATTTGCCTTTCTCCAGCCCTCGAGTTCCTTGTCACCACCACAGGCTCAGAGTGGCATTTCCATTTCCCTCTGCAGCTGACCATGAACAAACGGTATGATATCTCCCAGAAAGCTCTTGACCTCCAGATGCTCCGCTTTGACCCAGGTATGGCTGACAGCAGTAATTCTATGGCCGGTGAGGGCAGAGTAGTTTGCCTGGGAGAGAGACTTAGAGATGATAACAAAGGAGGGGTTGTTGCTGTCCCTGGACCCCTCTCAGCTTTCTGATTTCCTCCTCTCGGCTTCTTGAAGACTTGGTGGGCCTTAACATTGATATTATCCTGAATCGAAGAAACTGCATGGCTGCCACCCTGCAGATCATCGAAAAGAACTTCCCTGAGGTGAAGCATTAAGCCCAGTGCTGGTGTTATGGTAGGGGGTGGAACAGATAGAGCAGAGGGGAGATATGTCTGCAAGACCCTGGCTAGTAACCATCACTCTAATTCTTCCCCCAAAGCTGTTATCTTTGAACTTATGCAACAACAAACTTTACCGGCTGGATGGCCTGTCTGACCTTATACAGATGGCTCCCACAGTCAAGAACTTGAACCTCTCCAGAAATGAGGTGAGAATACGGAGAGAGATCAAAGTTGGGTTGAGAGTGGGGTGAGGTACTCATCAGAGTGATGACAGTGGGCAGGCAAAGGTACTTGAGGGGGAGGGTGGAAGATGGGTTTCAGGAGCTTGGATGTCCCTCTTTCCTTCTGTCTTCTTCAACTCCATCCCTATATTTCTCAGCTGAACTCTACCTGGGAGTTGAGAAAGATGAAAGGGCTGAAGCTTGAAGAGCTCTGGCTGGATGGGAACCCCTTGTGCAGCACTTTCCCAGACCAGTCCACCTACATATGGTCAGTGCAAAACCTCTTCACCCTTTCTGGGTACCTTTGCACCCTGGGAGCCTGAACTACCCATAACAGTGCCCCTCTGCAGAAGGTGGCAGCCTTGTTTTTCTGATCGGACCTCAGGCTTTGCTTTTTCTTTTCTGTGTTCCTCACTTGTGCCTACAGGTGTCCTCTCCTTCCTCTGACCTACTCACTTGTTCCCTTGGCCTGGGGTCTGTTTCCCGACTTTGTACTTAGATTTTGCTACCATGCACACCCAAGAATGTGCTCCAGGAAGCAAAGCTCCCCGCTCCTCACCAGGACCAAGGGTGACCAGCCTTGAGGCAGATACTGCTGATCTGGACTGAGAAATGTCCTCTAGCCCATGGCCCCATGCTGAGACAGGCCTTCTTGCTCATATAGTTTTCTTAATCTTTTTTGGGGAGGAATCCTCTTTTTTGTGCTCTTGAATGGTCTCCCATCTAATCCAAAGCTGACATGGAAACTTTGCCACCCCATGCTGAGCACTGAGACTCCAGGTGTCTATCATAATGACATTTGTTCCTTTACCCAAATGAAGGACCTGGGACCTCCTTAAAAGAAATCAGGGATCCCGGAGTCAAGAGACCAGAAGTGGGCTACTGCCAGTGAGAAGAGGACCTCCAAAGGCAGCAGTGGAAGGCAAAGGGCAGAGGGGGATGAGGAGACAGAAGGACAGGCCTTTCAGAGCACTGCCCTTCCCTCCCTCCAAACATCATATCTTCCTACCTGGTCCTTCAGAGGGTCCCTGAGTAGCCCAACATGGGTATGATTCCTCAGGCAAAGAACCAACTAAGACAGGCACAGGTGCACAGGAGCCATGAGGAGAGAAGGCGGTGATCATAGGAGGGGGCCACAGACTCTCAACCCAATGCTGAGCTGGGGCTTAACCCTTTACTCCTTCTGGAGAACGTCTCCTTTCCCTGTGGCTGCTGTTTCCCATGCTCCGTTCAGACTGAGCTCCAACAGGTGACAAAGGCTCGACCAGCATTCAATGGACCCACAGCCCAACACATGCATGTTTTTTCTTATTATTTTGGGACCCAAGGCCGGCCAGGGGCAAATGAAGAAAGGGCTGCAGCAGGAGAGCCATATCCCTTTTCTTCTCTCTTCTTCCCTTACTCTAACATCCATGATAGAGCTTCTTTCCCTTTCCTTTACTTTGCTTTCTATTTCTCCTTTTTTTCTATTACTGTCTTCCCCATCTCCCTTCTTATCTTCACTCCTTTTCTGTCTTCATCCCTCTCCTTTTCCCTCCCTGCTTTCTGAGCTCCACCCAATCACCTTCCTGCCCCACTATCCCAGGCCATCCTTGGGGGTTGTCATGGTCCTGGCAGAATGCCGGACCCCCAGTGAGGAAAACAGAGCCCTGGGCTCCCACCATATTCCCTCTTCTCTCCAGAGCCTTCAGTGGGGACTTGCAGAAAGGAAGGGAGGCAAGAAGGGATCAGAAAACCTGGACTCTGGAGAAGGGAGACAGGGCAGTTTACGTGGGAGCTACCCAGGAGGATAGAGAGAAAGAAGGAGGGATAAGATGAGGGAGGGAGTGAAAAGGAATGAGGGAGGAAGAGAGAAAGTAAGGTAACGTGAATGTGAATGTGTGGAGAGAGGTGAGGTAACTGTACCTTTCAGACAATCCATATGGCAGATGCTCAGTGCTCAGCAGGGAATCGGACCCAGGACCTTTGAAATCAGAGGCAGAGGTGGGAAAAGAGGGCTACTGGATGGGCAGAACACACTGATCTCTGTTTATATCATCAGTATGTTAACTAAATGGAAGCAGACTATCAACCACTCTTTTCTATTTTTGGATTTGGACAGTGCCATCAGGGATTGTTTCCCCAAGTTGTTACGCCTGGTAAGTGCCTTCATTCATATCATCTCTTACTAACATTGATGACCTCCCCACCTGGCCTCAAGCCCTTTGGATCTTGCCTTGATTATGTTTGCTTCAGAACTTTATACATTTTAGGGGACATGGACTCCTCAAAAAGACATTAATATGCTCTCCAAAAAAATATCTTACACACACATACATACACACACACACACACACACACACACACACACACACACACACAAAGTTGCATATAACAGTAGAGACTCCCAGGACCTCATGATAAAGATGCCTCTGTAATCTCACCAGTGGAATTTACAGGGCCCTTTTACACCTGACCTCTGACCCCCACCATCTCCTGTGCCCATACTTTGCCTGATCATCCGGAGCCACCTCCCTGGGCTGCACTGATGACTTCCTCTTCTCTTTTGCAGGATGGCCAGGCGTTACCTCCACCAATTATCATTCACATTGACAGACCCTACTTAATAAATTCCTGCAAGGTGAGGAAGAAAGATCAACAACATTGAGGGTATTGCAAAGGAGGATTTATCACCCATGTAGTCTCAAATGTCCTTTGATTCCAGGAAAGCCACAAAACATCTGAGACGCTGAAGAGTCTAGTCATGCAATTCCTGCAGCAGTAAGTACCACCGAGAACACCAGGAATGGGGAGACCGGGCCATCCCAGAACAGGTCTGCTTACAAGGACTTCCAAATTCCATTTGAGATCCAGACCAAACTGTCTTCATTGTTCCCCCACAGATATTACTTGATTTACGACTCTGGAGATCGACAGGGTCTCTTGGGTGCTTATCACGACAAAGCTTGCTTCTCCCTGACCATACCCTTCAACCCTGAGGACCCATCTCCGTGAGTATCACAGCTCAGCTTCTGCTTCTGAGCCCTATGGCTCCCCAGCACACACTGGTCAGTTCCTGAAAACACGCATGCTGACTCGACCACCACCTCTTGTTTCTTTTGCTCCTAGAAGCAGCTTGTGCGACTACTTCAAGGATAACAGGAATATGAAGAACCTCAAAGACCCCTGTGCGTGTGTGATGAGGAAAATTGAGCAGGGAAAGGGGGCGTGAAGGGGTCAGTCATAGGGATCAGGGTGTGGCTACCCTGACCCTCACTCTCCTTTCCCCACAGACCTGCGGGTTCAGCTCCTGAAGCATACAAAACATGACATTGTGTGCTCCCTCTGTGTGTTGCCCAAAACTCAGCATGACCTCAGCTCCTTCGTGGTGGACATGTGGTTCCCGACGGTGAGCACCTGCTTTCTCCCTCGGCAGGCCCAGAAAGATGCAGGTGGGTAAGAGGTATAGGTGGTGACTCTGTGCCTGGGTTCTTCCCTTTCAGGAAAGGATGCTCTTCTTCTTTGTCAATGGGGTGTTCAAGGAAGGTGAGTATGTATAGAGTCCCCTCCCCAATTACCTCACTGCTCACTCCCAGAACTCTCCTAGCTTCCCCGATTCCTTTTCCTTTCTTGCTATTCCCTCTTTCTCCTTCCACCTTTCTTCTTCCCCTAAACTATTGTGTTCTGACCTGCATCCATGATGGCATAGCTTGGATATTAGGGACACACAATGTGGAGTTTGATGGCTGTCATCCCAGATCCTTGCTCTGAGAACTTGGGCCCATTGCCTAATCTCTCATTTTCCTCATTTTCAAAGTGGAGCTAGTAATACCCATCTCTTGGGTAGCTGGAAAAATGAATCAAGTGAACATGTGAAGTGGTTATCTCAGGGCCTGGGGCATAGTAGAGTGCCTTATCAGTGGGAGCAGATTGCCCCTATTGTTTCCCTCCCCATTCCCAACATTCTGACTCCTAATGTACAGTTGTCCCCTTGGGCATGAGTATTGAGTCGGACCCTGACTGGGGAACACTGTGTGAGTTTGTGAAGCGTGTGTGACTCTAAGGGAGTATTGTTTATTGTTGTTGAAGTGGAAGGAAGGTCTCAAGGTTCTGTGCGTGCCTTCTCTCGGACCTTCATTGCTACACCTGCCAGCAGTTCCAGGTGAGTCCTGTGCCATGGGTGGGAAAACCCAGCCCAACCTGGGCTCATGGGTGTGGGAATGTGGTGGTGCAGATCCTTGGGATTTCCTCAGTGTTGTGGGAAGCCAACAGGTAGATCCAAGGAGCAGTCCAGCACAGGGGTTGAGAGAATAGTGGGCTCTGGAGGTAGAGCACTGGGTTCTCTTCCTGACCCCAACACTCACTAGAATTATACCGTAGTGAAGTCACATCATCTCTCTGTGACACACTGTCTTCCTCTTAAAATGAGATTAGAATATCTTCTCCCTTGGGCTGTTTTAAAGAGTAAATGCTTTGGGGTTAAACTTACAAATCTAGTGAAGCTGGTAGACAGTCTCTCCAAGGGTGATCTCTGTGGGAGGGGCAGAACTACCTGCCAAGGAATCTGGGGGAGGGAGTCTGGGGCAAGCAGTTATAAATAAAAGGAATCTGGTTGCTGAGTGACAATGGGAGCTGGATCATTGTTGGGAGTGTGCGATTGTCCTTCCATCAGTTTTCTGAGGTCTCATTTTTCTGCAGTCTATGTGTCGTGAATGATGAGCTGTTTATGAGGGATGCCACCCCCAAGGAGACTCAGAGTTCATTCTCTGTCCATGTGCCCACAACCACCTCCATCTTTGGGTCCACCTTCTCCCAAGAGCAGCAGAAAATGGTGCAGGCTTTCTCCACTCAGTCTGGGATGAATGTCCAGTGGTCTCGGAAGTGAGTGATGGGTGTACATGGGGATAGGAGGGAGCAGGGAGGAGCAGAGGAATGAATAGTGGGAACTTGCAGGTAATATTTTAAATTATTTTTTTTCATATAAAAGTGCACATGTGAAAAATCCCCTAATTGTATACTAATACATTTAATCACTTTTTCCACCATACATACTGTTTTGAAACTTATTTTGTTTATTAATTATTAGCATCAGCATAGTTTCACCTCAGTATATATTAAACTACCTTGTTTCTGCCAAGATCTGTATATTAAACAACTGAATCCCAGTAGGCCATAGCTATTATTGATAGACATTTGCCTTGTCACTACTTTTTCAGCATTATATGCCATGCCACTTGCTTATTCTGGTACATACATCTTGGTAAATTTGAAGGCTTCTTTCTGTAGCATAGATTTAACAGTGACATTGTGTGGTAAAAGTGTTTCCAGTTTGGTCCCAAGTGAAGTCATCTGTCCTCCCCAACCACAGGTGCTTTCAGTACAATGACTAGACTATATCTGCACTACAAAACTCTTTACTCATCAAAAAGTGAAGTCTGAGAATTCAGAGATAAAAGGAAATGGATCTCTAGCCTTTCAGGAAGGTTAAGTGGACAGAAATCAGATGGCCTAGGGGTGAACCTCAGGGCTCCTGGCTCTACTGTATCTCTCATTCTCTCTCTTGACTTTCTCTAGATGAAGGGCAAGATCACAGAGGAGGCCTTCATACATTGACAAAGGATCTTGTAAACAAGGCCTGGTTAAGGAGCCTTTAGGCGTTCTCAATTCATCCTCCTATTTGTTATACCTCCTCCAACCTGAGACCATATCCATGACTAAGGTTGGAGCCTGACTGACAAGGAAGCCAAAATTTACCATGAAGCCTGCCAGTTGTTCTGTATTTTTTGCACTCATTCTCCTTGTTTATTTTCATATTAAAGAATGACATTGCACATTGTATTTTGTGTCTTGGATTGCTTATTCCCTGCCCAAACCATGAGCCAATGGGGCCAGGACCAGAAGGTTCCACCTGCCCTTTCAACCATGGCAGCCTCTAGCATTTGTATTGGGCTTCCACAGTGCTTGAAAATTATAGAGTGGGGACTCCATTATTGGACTACTTTAAAATCCAAGCTTTGCTCCCTGTATTCTGATAACCTTCCCTCTACAAATTCACAGTAACTCACAAACAGTGACATTCACTTCTATAAACTTAACATCTTTATTAAGAATAGTGTCATATTTATTGTAGTATTTATGTATTTCTTAATCATTTAACTGGTCTAAAACCATGCTAGAAGTTTAGAGAAACATGGAGGAGTGAGAGACATCCCCAGATCTCTCCCATTAAAACAACAATGAGCCGAACAACTAAAACTCAACAAAAAATACTCAAACTGTACAACAGCACGTGTGAGCATGGGATCTGCTCATAAGAGCTACCAGGTATAGGGTGGAGAACTGGGAGAAATAAAGAGGCTGCCTCTCGCAACCACCAGAGCTCACAGTGTGAGGAGGGGAAGGGGAGAAAGTGCGGCGAGTTCCCTGAACAGCCCAGCCTGGGAGAGCTGTGAGCTCTACGTAGGTGGCGGCAGAGCCCAGTCACCAAGGCAGAGAGCAAAGAAGTGGGAGAGCAGAGAAATAACAGTTTATTTTACCAGCCGTGGTTGCAAAACTGAGGCTAAGCCATAGCCCCCAAATCCCAACTGAGAGGGCCCCTCCCCCCCATAAACTCTGACACCGAACACCACAGAGCCCCAGGGGAATCTGAGCAAATGCTACCAAAACTATCACTAACACTGACAGGGACTGAGCCTGAGAGTAGTGAGCGTGATTAAACATCTACAAGAAAATTAAAAAACATTAAGGCTTTATATAAAGCAAGGATACAAGAGGCATAGACACCACCTACTGGAAACTGAGAGAAAGTGCCTTCTTTGCAACAAGTTAAAGAGAGACCTTTATATAATAAATCTTTCTGGAAAAAAAAGGTCAATACACTTCCATTAATGCCCAGGCAGAGAAATAGTTCATTAAACACCATGAACAACGAAGGTGACAAGGCATCTCAGAAAGAAAGAGAAAAATCTCTAGAAAATAAGCTTACAGACGTAGAAATATGCAAGTTAAATGACAGAGAATTCAGGATGGTACTTCTGAAAAAACTCAGTGAGTTACAAAATGAGTCATATCAACAATTTCAAGAATTGAAAAAACAACTAGATGAGCAGAGCAAGGATATTGAAACTATAAAAAGAGCATAATAGATCGGGAGATTTAAAAAAAAAACACACTGCAAGAGTTGAAAAAAGAAACAGCAAGGTTGAGAAAGAGAGTCGACCAAATGGAGGAAATTATCAACGATATCGAAGGCAGATCTAGAAATAAATCAGAAGGAAGAAGAAAGAATTCAAATAATGAAAAATAACAAAAGAGAAATACAAGAACTAGCTGATGCCATCAGGAGAGGAAACATGAAAATAATGGGCATTGTTGAAGACAAGGAAAAGGAGCAGGTACTACAAAACATTTTCAGACAAATAGTTGATGAGAGTTTCCCAAATCTAAGGAATGAGCTGGAGCCTGGATTTCAAGAAGTCAATAGAACACCTAATTTTATGTCAACCCAAAAAGGACCTCACCAAGAAACATTGTATTGAATTATCAAAAACCAAAGACAAAGACAAAATTCTCAGGTCAGCCAGAGAGAAGAAAACGGAAATCTATAAAGGAAAACCCATTAGATTATCCTCGGACTTCTCAGCACAAACTTTATAAGCCAGAAAGGAATGGAATCAAATATTTAAACTATTAAGTGAAAGGAATTACCAGCCTAGAGTAATGTATCCAGCTAAGCTCTCCTTTAGATATAAAGGAGAAATTAAGACCTTTCCAGACATACAAAAATTGAGAGAATTCTCCACTACGAGGCCTGCATTACAGGAAATACTAAAAGAGGTCAGCTCACCTGAAACAAAATAACTATATATATATTTAGAAGTAAGGTAACTAGCAGGCAAATAGAAACAGAGGAGAGCAACCCTTACTATGAACAGGGCATTATAAGCTTAAATAATAAGAAGAATCGCTCTAGCAAGGTAGTAATGAATGTCAGCATACATAGGGACAAATTGAGACAATGACTGAAAAGGGTAGGAATCAAAGGCACATGGAGAAGAAGGTGGACGAATGTATATATACATATATAACTGTCCTTCATACTCATAATGGGAAGCACACGCCAAAGATTCAGAACCAAAGTATATAACATAAAACAAGAAGGACCAGAGGGAAAACCCACAAAATAAGGAATGAGCTGGAGCTTGGAATTCAAGAAGTCAACAGAACACCCAATTATGTCAACCCAAAAAAGGCCTTCACCAAGACACTGTATTAAAATTATCAAAAATCAACGACAAAGATAGAATTCTCAGGGCAGCCAGGGAGAAGAAAATGGTAACTTATAAAGGAAAACCCATTAGATTATCCTCAGACTTCTCAGCACAAATCTTACAAGCCAGAAAGGAATGGAATCAAATATTTAAATATACAAAACTATCCTTTTCATATTCGTAATGTTAACCATAACCACACACCAAAGATTCAGAACTGAATTATATGACATAAAACAAAAAAAACCAGAGACAAAGCACACAAAAGCCAACAAAAATAAAGAAAACAGAAACACAAGGACAAGGAAGCAATGGGAACACTGAGCTACCCGAAAGCAAAAGATAAAATGGCTATAAGAAGACCTGATATTTCAATCATTACCCTAAATGTAAATGGACTAAAATCACCAATAAAAAGGCACAGAGTTGCAGCATGGATCAAAAAAGAAAAAAAAAAAAACATAAAAAACCCCACAGCCATATACTGCCTCTAGGAGACACATCTCAGCTCCAACGACAAATATAGACTCAAAGTGAAAGGGTAGAAAATGATATTTCAAGCAAATGACATTCAGAGAAAAGTGAGAGTAGTGGAACTAATATCACATGAAATAGACTTCAAAATAAAAAAGGTAAAGAAAGATACCGAGGGACACTTCATAATGATAAAGGGAGAAGACATAACACTTATTAATGTCTATGCTCCCAATCATGGAGCCCCAAAATATGTAAAGCAATTAATAACAGAACTAAAGAGAGAAACAGACCAAAACATTATCATAGTAGGGGACATAAATATCCCACTCTCAGATATGGACAGATCATCCAACAGAAAATCAATAAGAAATTACATCCTTAAATGACACATTAGACCAACTGGACAGAATTGACACTGACAGAGCCTTCCATCCCAAAGCAGCTGCTTATACATTCTTCTTGAGTGCACACGAACATTCTCAAGAATTGACCACATACTGGGACACAGAGATAGCCTTAACAAATATAAGAGAGTTTAAATCATACCAACCATATTCTCTGATCATAATGCTCTGACATTAGAGATCAACTGCGAAAAGAAATCAGGAAAAGCCACAAATGCATGGAGATCAAACAACATGCCCCTGAAGAATAACTGGATCAGGGAAGAAATAAAAAGAGATCAAGAGATACATAGAAACAATAAAATTAGTACAAAATATCAAAACTTTTGGGACACTGCAGAGGCAGGCCTATCTCCAAAAACAAGAATGAGCCCAAATAAACGACCTAATGCTTCACCTTATAAAAACTAGAAAAAGAAGAACAAATGAAGGCTAAATTCAGCAGAAGGAAAAAATAATCAAAAATAGAGCAGAAATAAATGAATTTGAAAACAACAACAACAACAACAACAACAAATAATAGAAAAAATAAATGGAACAAAGAGCTGGTTCTTTGAGAAGGTTAATAAAATTGACAAACCCCTGGCTAGACTCACTAAAGAAAAAAGAAAAAAGACACAAAACACAATCAGGGATGAAAGAGGGGAAATGATGACAGACACCACAGAAATATAAAAGATTATACAAGAAAACTATGAAAAATTATATGACTCTAAATTCAATAACCTAAAAGA